TCATAGCTATGCCAATTGTTCTCGCTTATAAGTGACTTTCTTGAACCAAGGGCAAATGCTTTTGTGACCAACTGGTATCCCGCAGCAACACGGGAGGTATTTGCCTAGTTAATAAAAAAATGAGAGACGTGAGGTGTCATTGAAGACTGTCTCAGTATTTTTCATCAGGTGGGAGGCCACCGGAACTGAAGTTGGGTAGTGTGACCCCACACTGGTCCTTTGGATCCTCTGTTTCTTATTAAGAGACAACAAAGTGAGATAACACGGTTCTATTGGTGCCCATGTACTAGTGAACCAAAATTTTATTCATTCAATTGAAAGCAAACAAGCCGCATTACAAGATTGAAAATGGAACAACTTAAATCTAAGAATTAAATTTATAAGCACCTAAACTATTTATTACGCCATGGGGACGATCATGGCAGTGGAGATTTATACAGATCTCTGTTCCCCATGGCTCGTGCAAGCCACTTGATCTTAGTGGTTCATGCATGGCAAAGATTGGCGATCTTATCTTCCATATCAAGCCGCCACGTATTCGCTCCCGCTACCTCTCCTCTGGAACATAAGTTTTCATCTTCAATTCAACTACCAAGGCAAGGAGACTCTCCATGGTGTGTTTCTTTAGGTCTCTTCCCACTATGATGGCGTAGTTTGAAAAATATTTTATGTTTACCATCTTTGAATCCACCAAAGATGGTGGCACCTAGTCATTTTAACTTGTTTCATGGTCTCAACCACACTTTATTAGTCCACCAACACCTATTTCACAACTTTAGATATGTCTATAGATGGCAATGAGGCATGGATCCCCCATTCCCCGTAGGGATTCCTCCCCTATTAGGGACGGGGTCAGATTATTCTTCGTTGGGATTCATATGGTAGAAACCATATCCCCATCGGAGATGGAGGGGGCTAGGATGGTTGAGAACATATCCTGTAAAGCTCCTATGCACTTAGGTGCCTCATGCTCCCATTAAAAAACATAAAAAGTGCTAAAAATCGATCAAAAATGTGAATGGATAGATGATGCAAGCATCCATCGTCATGTAAAATTTGAGTATGAACAAAATTTTTATACAAGGAGAAACCAAAAGATAAAATAAGGATGCAATTGATGCAGGTTGCGGATCGAGGTAAATAGTGTACAAGATCCAATTATATCTTTATTTTCTTTTTTGTTTCTCCTTGTAGACATTTTTTATCATTCTCAAATTTTGCATGAAGATGGATGTTTGCATTATCTATCCATTCATATTTTTTGTTGAATTTTCAAGCAATTTTTCATAGGTTTTTTAATGGGAGTAAAGGAGCACCTAAGTGCATGGGGGAGCACAGGATGGTGACCTTGTCCCCATTCCCTATTCTCTGCTAACCCACCCCTCTTCACAAGCACAGTGAACTGAAGGCCCGTCAAAGGCCCAACTAGCCAAGTATATATATCGCTAACCAACCCTAACCATATCCATCCATTCCTCTTCCTCTAGAACCAGCCACAACCCCCAACACACCACCGCTCTATCAGTAGCCTCCATCTTGCGCCCCTCTCACTCATGCACAAACAACACCACCTGCCGACCCACCATTGTCTTGCTACATGGGGCCCACATGCTGGAGAGACGCACCATGTTGGAGCTATCACTCACTCAGATCCGATGAACGAGAACATGGCACAACCACACAAGTGACAACGTGTGACATGATTCACAACACTAGAGCAAGTAGGGTGCATGGCACCATCAAAGCTTCAGACTGGGCATTGGTGCTCTAGATCCTTGGGTTTTGATACTTTGGTCTCTTGGGCTCCATCTGTTAAATTATTTTGCCACCATATCTCCTATTACAAATCCTTGGGTTTTTGATTGAAGCATGATGAGTCAATTCCTCTTCTATACTCTCCTTTTTTTCTCTTTATTGTTGTGTTTATACCACTATGTGTTGGGCTGGTTGTGCAAGTGTGTATGATATGTGTTCCTCACTTTTTAATGGTTGCAGCATTTGATCTAAGATACTAACTATGCAGGGTGGGCAACCCACGGTGATTAATTCCCCGTGTGAGGGCGGGGTTTTGGAAGAAAATAGACCTCGAAGTCACTCACAAGGACAAGGATGGGGAAATTTCGTGCCCATAGGGATGCCTGTTGCAATCTCTAGATGTGTCTCGTCTTTACTTTAGGATACTAGACCTTCTAGTAATTCGATGCTTGGGCCCAATAGAAGTATGTAGGATTGGAGATGGAGAGATGAGAAAAGGACACACCTATAATTTATATCTAATTAGCTTGTGGTCTAGGATTATCCATACTAGAAGCATACCCCATGCGTTGCTGCGAGACTTCTATAAATAAAATCATTGTATATATTAGTTCAACCTATGTGTTCTTACATTGAATAAAACAAATATAATTAGATCGGATCATAAGATGATGGAATTGCAAAATAAATAGTGATATATGGATGACGGATATATTTCTTATATATTGAAAATACTAATTACATTAGAAGTGGCATGGTTGACTTGGATTATAAGGTCAAAAGTTAGTGGGATGGTGTGGCATTTAGTGGGAGATGAAGTGGATGGCTTGAATGTTGAGATACGAGACTTGTACTCTTCAAATTCTGTGGTCATAAAGTAAGGTGGTGGATGATATGATGAGAGGTAATATGGAGTGGTGGACCTAGCCCTGTCCATTAGGTTAGTCAAACCCGACAAAATTCCAAAATACTCTAGTAATTAAACAATGTTTTCATTTAAGGTTCACCATGCCATGCAATAGGTTTGACCCCAATGATATTCTTTGCTGGCTTCGCTCTTGGTGCTTGTAGTAGGTAATGCTTTTTGGCCACAAGATAAAAGAAGGTGCTGGTCATGAGATCACTTAATCTTGTGGAGGCAGTGGAAAATGTGAAGGCACAAAAAACCATAGCTTGTACCTTGAAAAAGGTCCTTGTTCGTCCATTTTTTATCATGGACCATTCACACTCAATAGTAATAGATCTTACTACTAAAGAGAAAGGTTTGCATTCAATATTAGCACAAAGGCAAAAGAATTACATTGAATTTAGATTCTTAGTACTAAAAACAAAGGTGATAGTAAAAAAACACAACTATATCAACATATCATGCACCTCTATACATATATGTATGCTACTTCTTTTAGTAACAAAACCTAAAACTACCAAAGAGAGTAATACCAATCACATATTCTCTATGCCTTCTAGCTCAAGAGGATGTCGATATGAGGCATGATCCATCTCGTAGTCAGTAAAAGTTGTTCCACAAGTCATTGTCCCCGTGTGTTGCTTGCCACCTTCTCAATCATTCTTGTGCCTAAGTTCGAGCATACACCTCACTTCTCGGTTTGCCATAGTAGCTATTAGTAAAGAACACGACCCCTACTCTTCTCACAAAACCATTGTAGCTTTACCTCCGCTGCAAGCGCATCAACTTTCAAAGCTTGGTCTACTTGGATATTGATCTTCGCCTTCCATAATGAATTGCTCGCCAGCAATCGATCGTTGTCAATGGTGCCATTGTTGTCATAGGTGATTACACATATTTCATTTGTTGGTGCCCACTTACCATGCATCGATAAGTACCAATGCTTGCTAAACCGGATAGCGCAGAGCCTACCCTTTGGTGTTGTGTGCCCAAAGAATATATTCTCTATGTCGATGAAGGTGTTGCCTCCTCGACCAAGGCAATCTTGTCATCGTGGCCTCTAATGTGTTGAGGTGTAGCCCAACACGAGGTCCATTGTTATCCAATATGCTACTTGTCCACCACAGCAATCACACCATTGCGATCGGCCAGATTTGGTTTTTGCCAAGTTGGGCTCCAGTCACCTTGCCCTCTGGTTCCATATGCCATCCTTAGATGAGTAGCTTCAAACGCCGTGAAGTGGAGCCAACTATACACCATGAGCGGAGTGGTAGTGAGAGGACAATGGAGGTTGTGGGTTGTTGTTCTTGTTCTTGTTTTGGTAGTCAATGGCAGTGAGCACTGCAAGTGTGCATAGTGTCCAAGACCATCCTTACCCCTTAGGGCTGGTAATACATGGACCTCGCCACTCATAGGGTTGCAGACACGAGCTTAAGAGTCCTCATTGTTTTGCCACGTTGGACTTCAATGACAAGGAGGCCGCCTCGAGGCCACAATGCGGATGAGTTCAAAAGCCCATCATCGATGTCCATGTTCAAGTGATGATGGCTTCGGAGGATCGAGAACCGGCGATGCGGAAGCCATGGGGATGAAGCTTAGCATAGTGGCATCATGCTTGTGAAAGAATCCAACAATGAGCGAGGGGATGAATTTGTCGACGAAGCATAGCTGTTGTATGAGAGGTTCGGCAAATGAAGTTGGCATCATTGACACTGAGGTGGCGCCAGCGCTTTTAGGTAGCAAGCAACATGAACGAGGTCAGCGATCTCAAGAAAGCCAATGAAGATGAAGCGGATGATCTCATCGTGTAGTGATGTGCCATCGTTGTTGGGCTTATGTGGTCGCTTGGAGGTGTTTGTCCAATGGACAACCAACCCTTGTTGCATGGACTCAAGCCATGTTGATGGAAGATC